AATGTCGTGACTTTGGTACCTGGCCATGGGCAGCCGGGGTTATTCCGCCAACTCAATTTTTTGGGGCATTTTCGGGACATATCTAGAAGTTTCAGGGGGTTAGAGGAGATCGCCTGGGGGTTAGAAAAAGCTCTCCTGGTCCTCTACAAAACAGGCAAAATTTCAGCTAACCCCTTTTTTGGTACCCATAGGGTTAGAATTGAAAGAATGTAACGAAAACGTTTACATAAACCTAACCGCGGACACTTTCCAACAAAAAACTGCATTCCACACAGTTTTGTAGAAGAATAATTTATCTTTTTTAACAAGTTTAAAGCAAAACAATATCTAACCCCCATCATTATCATCAAACCCTTACCCCAATTGCAATTTTGTAACATAATTTCTAACCACGGTGCTAATTAGGGTTAGGGTTAGGGGTTAAGATTAGGGTTGGGGTTAGGGTTAGGGTAAAGAGTGATATACGAAGATGATCAAATGATCATTAGTCATTCAGACTTCTGATTGGTTGAAACTTTGTCTGGCTATAACTTCTTTTCTAGTCGGCGGAATTGGTTGAAACTTGCTGGAAATAATTTTTGTTTCGAATGTCTTTTAGTGTTCATTATTACGTATATATTGCATCACAATATGGTCGTTATAAAGCGTTCCGATTGGTCGAAATAAATAATGTTCGATTTCGATGAAATTTGGTAAATATATGTATAATAAAGCAGCAAACACAACTGTGGCTTCAGTTTTATTATTTCACCCCCACTAGGTAAAGGGTTATATAGAAATGAGTTTGTTTGTGCGACCGTGCATCGGTAAAAACTTTCTGTACAAGATATTTAGTGAACTGCCTGACAGGTTTGATTCATATTCGCAACAAGGCATCACCCCACCAAAGCCTACGGCTAACCATATTTTGGTTGTTATTCGTCAAGGTTAAAGGTCAAATTTCACCCTTGACCACTTAGGAAGTAAAAAGCTGTGTACAAGAGATGTCATAAACCTCCTCAAAGTTTTAGTCTGTTGTCACACCATAGCATCACACTGTCAAGTTATACGTTCGATTAGTTCGACGTCCTAAAGGCCCTTACAAGTTATTTATACAAAAAAATGCAAGGCATACAACACAGTCTACAAGTTAATAGGCAAGTAATTGTAGCATGAGTAAAACTAGCTCCCGAACTTTAAGCGTATACAATTGACATCATTTATCTGAATGTTGTACAGCAGCACTGTGTCTGTAGTATCTGAACCTAAAAGCATTAAAACCTCTGTCTGGAAGGTTTCGATCTCTACACAAAGTGCAATACTGCAAGTACAACTGTTTGACATTGCGGGTGCATTTGTCCAGATCCTGCATGACCGCTAATTCCTGCGGTGTCCATCTGCTCTTGGACTTTGTTGATATGTGTGCAATAGGATTCACTGTTTCTTGCGTCTCTTCTTCTTCTTCAGTTTGTTCTGGAAGTTCTTCGTCTTCCGGCGTAACTAGTTTGTTTGTTTGTTTGATTTTGTTTAACGTCCTATTAACAGCTAAGGTCATTTAAGGACGGCCTCCCCTGGGTGCAAGATGCATGCGTGTAGTGTATGTGTGTGTATTTTGGGAGGCTGCGATATGTTCGTGTTTGTCTCCTTGTGATAGCGTGAAACTGATGCCGACTTTATAGTGCTACCTCACTAAAACATTCTGCCGAAGACACCCAGCAGGACGCCCCACCCGGTCACATTATACTGACAACGGGCGAACCAGTCGTCCCACTCCTTATTTGCTGAGCGTTAAGCAGGAGTATAAACTACCATTTTTAAAGACTCCGGCGTAACTATACTCCGGCGTAACTATGTCATCAACAGACGGACCATTGCTACGTTTATGCGGACCGAGTCTGTGATGCTGCTGCGCCAGAGATATTAGTTTAAATGGAATGTCTTGATGAAGGCGATACACTCTGACGTTATTGACTCCTGGAAGAAGGAATTTTCCAAGGATACTCAGAGATTGCAATCGCATCTGTATAACGGGCATCATGCGTACAAGGCGAGACAACTGTCGATAGTCGACATAATACGGTGAACTCTTATACGTTCCTGCATGGTTAGGATGAGGTTGTTGCAGAAGTGCGATACATGTCACGAAAAGAAGAACAAGTTTCTTCCCGTCCTCGTCAATTTGTTGAGTGCCTAGTCTGGAATACACTGGTAAGATCCAAGGAAACTCATTGGCTACATGACGCAGTGTCGATAAATGACATAGTCCTTTCTCTTCAAGAAGGTGTTTGATCTCACATGTTAGTGGAAACGACAAATTCGCATCAGAGCCAAGATTATCTGTTGAGATAACTCTGCACACGGAATGCTTGTTCCAGAAAAACTTTGGATTCCGCGATGAGTCATAAAGACGCATATTAGGAAAATACTGCAAACCCGATTCCTTAATTCCTGACCGGATGATGTCTTTCACCGGCAAATGATCCTCTATCAGTATCTTCAGTGCTCTCGCAAAAACAAATGGATATTGCGAACGTTGAGCAACTGACAATTGGTCCGCTATTGCAGGCGGTGTAATCGTCATGTCTACGGTGTAAGGAAATGGCTGGCTACTTCGCAAGGTGGACAAAAGTGCAGAATTGGAAATATCGGATTTAGCAGCGACATCAGACAGAAGGCTGAGAATGGCATTTTTACCAATTACTGGGAAAGATGATTCGATGCAGTCCTTAAATCCAAACAAACGCTTCAATCTTTGCTTTTGGATGACATTTCGAGACCAAAAATCCACTGGGGGCATTGATTGCGCATCAGCTGCACATGTAGTCGGCAGATCCAAAGACAGAAATCCTCTGCGTGATGTTGTAGTGTCACCTGATCCAGGCCCCAAATGTTTGGCGTAAGCAAGAGATCTTAGGGAATAGGGACTGCCGGAGTATAGACACTGAAAACAAAAGATTTTAATGTATTAACAAAATAAAAATTCAAAGAGTGCATGATTCTAAGTGATAATTTAATTATTGATTAGATTTGTTTATTCTTTTGTTAAATATAGTTGCATATATCGAATATTTAACGCGAAATGAACAATATGAGGAAGGAATTTCCTTCTTTGCTGTACAGAAATTTTCTCATGTACTTGGTTTGTGTTCATCGTTTGAAGAATGAAACAACAATATTAATAAAATTGAAATGGTGTCTCTGCGTTGACCTCTCATTACATACCTCGAGTGCAATTTCTGCTTGATATGTTGTCCATGTCGGCAGAAATGATCCAGAATGTCGGCACCTTTCAAAACCATCCTGCAATGTTGCTATAAGGTGATTTGCCACTCTTTGTATCTGGTTAATAAGCTGCAATTATGAGTCATGAAAAGGAACGAATACGTCATATTTGCACAAACAATCCAATATATTTTCTGTAACAAAAGCGTCTCGTGGATCCGTTGGCGGAAGCTCTGTAGAAGAATGGATATTGACTATCTCCAACCGACAATGCATAAGTTTCGACAGGAGTGCAGTGTTGTTTTCCATAGTGGAAATTTATTCCACAGCATTTTGACACAGTTTTCTAGAAGCAGCATGGTGAAGCAAGCCTGAACAGGCAATAGTACCCGAGACAGGGTGATATGTTCCTTTATATCTAAGGTGAGGTGCATCTGTGTACATTTGTAAAAAGTTCAATGTATTTGGACTTGTGGAAACAGCACGCACATCATTACTAATGTTCAATTGCCGTCCATCGAGATTGGACTGGAAATTTGCACATTCTGCAAATGTCATGGCTCTGGTATAATTACCTCTGCGTCCACATATCTTTGATAATCCCGATCTTGACCAAAACAGATGACAAAATGGGAAAGAGATGTTCACCGCAGTGTGAAGAGATACAGATATTATATCATCGGTATTGTAGAAATGAGAAATATTGAATGTTTGGTATCTTTGTCCGAATTGATAATCAAATACAATTAGCTCCAACCCTGCATTCAGGTGAAGGCCAGCACAACATTCCTGAAGTACACTTAAAAAAAATGTGTTGGTCACTTTTGACAATCCTTAAAGTTCTAGTCTCTGAATTTAGTATGTTCTTGGCAAAGGTTGGTCTTGACATATCACTTGTTGCTCTTAGCTCAATCAGCTGATTAATGAATCTTGCTCGTACCTGCTCTAGATTGTTTTAAGAAACATCTGCCATTGCATTACTCGAGATAGTTGTAGCTGCTATGATAGAAATCACAGCTATCATAGTTGAGAAACCAGCGTCAGCGCACAGTTTTAACCCAACGCTAGACTTCAACAGCTGACGAGCTGACGAGTGGTATTGGGGTAAATTTAGATGCTTCTTGAGCAGACTGGAGACAGGTGTTAGGCTCATCTTTTTATTCGGAAGAAAATTAAGGTAGGGCCTATGGGTATATATTGCATTAAATCGTCTCATTTGAATAACTACCCCATCTACATCATACTCAAAAACTAAGTCTGATAAACTTTCTGCTGCATTCACAGAATTTGACCTTATTGGGATATACTCATCCGTGTGTAGGAAGGATTCAATGTCGTCCGAAAAGCGCTGATTAAATGAATAGGTATTTATGAGCACAGTATCACTCATCCATTCCTCCTCGTCCTCCATTCAACGTCAGTGTATCTTGTAGGATAACTCCACAGTGCTGAAATAACGATACTAAATATAAAGAAGTGTTAGGCAACAGAAGTAAACCTAAAAAGTATTTGGTTAGCGTTAAGGTTAGAATTCCAAATAGTTTTGGTTTTGGCTATGGTTTGGAATCAAGGTTTGGCTTATGATGATTTTGAGGTTAAAGTAAACAAGATTGGTATTGGAGTTTGATTGGAGGTAAAAACAACGTGGCTGGTTTGGGGTTGATTGGTATTCGGATTTGGGTTTGATACTTGTTTTGGGTTCGTTATTGGGGTCAGGGGTGAGATTTGGGTTAAAGGATCAATATTAGGGTTTTGGGTCGACATTGGATTTGGTGTTGGTATATGGGTTTAGGTTGAGGTTAGTATTGAGGGGTTAGGGTTGTGATTTGGATAAGGGTCGGTATTGGTTCTTTTATTGATATTGGTATTGGGTATGGTGTTAAGGGGTCAGTATTAGGGTTGGTGTTTGTATATGGATTTAGGTTGGGATCGGTATTGGGGCTGGAGTTGGGATTGGTTTTGTGAATAGGGTTGGGGTTGAGATTGGTATTAAGAATGGGGTTGGTATTGGGGCTTGGGTTGGGATTGGTATTGTGAATGGGGTTGGTATTGTGGCTGGGGTTGGGATTGGTATTGTGAATGGGGTTGGTATTGGGGCTGGGGTTGGGATTGGTATTGGGATTGGTATTGGTATTATGAATGGGGTTGGGATTGGTATTGGGGTTGGGATTGGTATTGTGAATGGGGTTGGTATTGGGACTGGGGTTGGGATTGGCATTGGGATTGGTATTGGTATTATGAATGGGGTTGGAATCGGTATTGGGGTTGGGGTTGGTATTGTGAATGGGGTTGGATTTGGTATTGTGAATGGGGTTGGTATTGGGGCTGGGGTTGGAATTGGTATTGGGATTGGTATTGGTATTATGAATGGGGTTTGGATTGGTATTGGGGTTGGGGTTGGTACTGTGAATGGGGTTGGGTTTGGTATTGTGGATGGGGTTAGCAATGGGGCTGGGGTTGGGATTGAGATTGGGATTGGTATTGGTATTATGAATGGGGTTGGGATTGGTATTGGGGTTGGGGTTGGTGTTGTGAATGGGGTTGGGTTTGGTATTGCGGCTTGGGTTGGGGTTGATATTGGTATTGGTGTTGGTGTTGGTATTTGGGTTGGGGTGGGTATTTGATTTAGGTTGAGGTTGGTACTGAGAGGTTCGATGTGTGATTGGTATTGGGGTTTAGGTTTGGATTTGTATTGTGGTTGTGGTTGGGTTTGATATTTGTGTTCGTGTTGGTATGAGTAATGGTGTTGGTATTGGGGTTGAGGTTGGTATTAAATTTATGTTGAGGTTGGTACTGAGGTGTTTGGGTTGGTATTGGGATTGGGGTTGAGATTGGGGTTGAGGTTAAGGTCGTTGATATGCATGATGGGAAATATAAGGGATGAAACGAAGAAACTGTATGCTTTACAAATATCTCTTTATTATGGTACCATGTAATTAATCATCATGTGGACAAATACAACATGAAATTAAAGCAGCATGTAACATTAAATTACCTCAGTTTCAATTGCCTTGTTTCATAGCATTTCACCTCTCTCTTTAAAGCACATGTCACATTTCAACGACGCCATCTTGATTTCCCATAAACCTTTGCGATTGATAGATGTGTATATCCCATAATGCTTAGCAATGGATACCAATACTAAACCCAATCCTAAACCCAACTGTAATCATGTTGACGGTTAGAAAATGAAAAAGGTTTAAGAAAGGACAAAGAATATGTCAGATTTAATATTGCCCCTAGTAACGAAGTTAGGGGGTATACTAGAGTTAGCGTTAGGGTCCGTCCATCGTCCGTCCGTTCGTCCGTCCGTCTGTATACAAAATTAGTCCGGCGATGTGCATTATCTGTGTTTTCAGTGGATTTTCTTATAATTTCGTTTGAAATGTCAGTACCATATGAAGTTGTGCTATCTGAAAGTAATTTTGAAATTCGATCCCCTTTTCTAGAGAGTTTTGTCCTTTTAGGTGAAAAATGAACGCAATTTTATTCGGCTATTCATTCGCTCATTTTTTAATTGATTTTTCCACCCAAAACCTAACCGTTACCATAACCCTAGTGACTGTCAGCTCCGAACCACATGTATTGATGGTCAAATGATTGAACTATATGAAACAAAGAAATCAAACTATCCTTACCCTAACCCTTAATCAATTTAAATCGATACTTCAATATTTACTGAATTGAAAATATATGTTATATCTATTTCTAGGCGAACCAGCTATCACAACTGGAAGTCAAGGCTTAACAGATCTTGATAAGAAGGTAGTGTTTTGATATTTGTGAAACGCGCTCTGGTATATTTACACAATGTAAAATATGTAAAAATTAAGTTGTATTCTGAAACTGTTTTAGCTGACAAGCTGACAAACTGCCGTGCATTTATTATAAAATCTTTACCATCATAACCTTTTAAAGTTTTCCTATATATGAAATGCTACAGGCTTTTACCCAGGAAAGATGATTGTTTGTTTATCATGTTTGAAGGTTTTGTTATCATATGCTAGTCATTATTCCTCTCGACGGTTGAAATAGGATTCTTCTACAATATTCTTTGGTTTCTTACCTTTCGAAAAGACCAGTTTGTTTTATTCTCCGCGAATTACTTTATATTTTTGTCCTGAAATGAATGTTGCAAATATAATTTTCTGTAATGAGACTTACCTTTTATATGCAGCGATAGTGGGTATTTACATTTTACTGCAGTGATAGGAGGTGTGCACACAGCGCTGACGTTCATTGTTGCAGAGGACGTCGAGATGTGAGCATCGCAGGAATAACAGATTTTGTCAATTTCTGAAAGGCATTTAATGTTATGTTCTTATGAATCCTGTACTAATTGAATGATTATGTTATTAATTCTTTCCTTTCTTTAGGATGTCTGAAGAATTGGAATTCCAACTTACGGCCCGTGTGGATGGTATAAGATCTTTTGTGATCGATGTGGTGAAAGAGTTCGACGGGCGATTGCAAGAATTAGAAAATGAGATATCTGACCCAACAAAAGGGCTGAGATCGTTGCAAAGGGAAATGGGCTCTTTGAACGAATCGATTACTAAACTTGAGACAGGGATGGATAGGTAAGTGTCGTAAGTGTTCTTATTAATACATTCTGCATTAATTTGATGTTGTTTAAGTTAATCAGTTGATAATGATTGTACTTGTGCTGTTTCAGATCCTTTGGAAAAAGAAAAGCAGAAGAGGTGGAAGACTCGTAAGTTTTTTTCTTCTTTAAATTAAAATGGTTATGAATCTATTTAACTTTCGAAGTTGATTGCAGTATTTTTAACATAATCATTTTTTAAAAACGCATTATTCTTCTCTTGTAGAGAGGATGAATCCAGTGCTGGCGCTATGGGGTATGCTTTATTGTTTCCCTTTAAGTTGATTACTTAAATTCGGTCTGATCAGTTTTACTGAAATGATATGAAAGCATTGAATGCATGTGTTTGGTATCTGCTTATTGGAACATCATAGTTATTGAAAGCAATCATCACTATCATGTAGGTCAAGCAAAATTAGCTTCTTTTTTTTTGTAGCATATTTTATCAATTCTGAGAAGTTGGACGGAGAACTCTTATTGATTTCTTTCCTTATTTTTTTACATTGAACAGCACTGCATGCAACGTGATGTTCAATGGAAAAATGTTTATAAGGATTTAAGTGATATCATTCAGATATGTTGATGTACTTTTCAGAATGAGTCAATTGACATCAACTCCAAGAAAGAAGTCGGGAGTATCTTTTAAATTGATGAATATTTTCCGGATAATTAAAAAAAGGTTAAAAGGTTAATAACATATTTCTGTGATTGTCTGAATTGTTTGGTAACTCTGTATGGTACGATATCGTTGTAGGACGTTTGATTAAGATAAATTTAATTGAATGCATAAAAGGAATGGAAGTAACTTTAATTAATTCATTGTTATCTTTTATCAATCAAGGCAAGCTGTGACTTTCTTTAAGACGACGTAAGTATAATCTATGTGCCATAAGTAATGATTGTCGCCAGTATGTTTAAGTGTGTGATTGTGTTTTTATAATAATTGACTTTTTAATTATTGTTTTTCGACTTTTCAACCAAAAATACAAAACTGTCTTCACTGTTCCGATTCTAATCTAACTAATTGCAGCAATGTGTTAATCGACTATTTGATGTTTCAATTAAATAACTCAGATAATTTCTAATAGTTTATTTGACTTCGTTTAAGAATTGTCCCTGAAACATTTGACGATGTTGAAGATGAAATATTCAGGGACTCATTGCTGAAACACCATAGTCCGAAAGAAGTTACAAAGAACCTGACGATCGTGCAGGCTGCATTCGTCAACAAATACATAAACGAGTAAGTTTTACTCTGTGTTTGACTTTAAAGTCTTATATTTATGTTTAATGAATGAACTGTTCACTTACTTTTTCCATTCTTCAATTAAAATTTATTTGAAAATTTTACTATGACGAGTTGAATTGAAGCATAATTTTTTATCTTCCTCGTGATGATTTCTAGATATATCTGAAACGAATATCTTTAGTGTAGAAACATGTGCATAATTAATACTGCTCAATGCAATTTTGTTTTATTGGTTATTTTACTAATTTCAGGAATGTTGAACAAGGCTCCAAACTGTACAAATCTGGGGCTATAGAGCAACTGATTTTTGAAGGTGTCAAGGAATGTGGCCAAAAGGAATCAAATTGCCAGCCTCCAAATTTGACTTAGCCACTTTTTTGAGGGACAAAATCAAGGGGAAGTTGTCAAGGCGTCTGGCAGAAATAGAAAAGGATGCAATGAAAGCTTTGATCAATTTCTAGTTAATTGAAATCGTAGAATGACAACGACACTTGGATAATAATTAATGACAACGACACTTTAACGATAATTAATGTTTGTATAATTTTTTTATTAAGATAAAGGTTAAGTAAATCTGTATGTGATTGATAGCTCTAAAGCTTAAGTAAAGCTGTATGTGATTGATAGTTCTAAGGCTTAAGTAAAGCTGTATGTGATTGATAGCTCTAATCTTCTTTTGTGTTTGACAAATGCTGATAAAAAAGACTCTTGTATGAATATTCTTTCTTTTTTTTCATTTATTTTGTATTGTATATTGTATAATTAAAGTGATTGACATTCATTACAGCGGGTTATCGTTATTTTCATTCACCTCTAAAGCTAAAATTCACAGTAACAGACACCAGTTTCGATCCGAATAGCTAGAATTGCAATTGCAAACCCAAACCCTTTCCCAACACCAACTTAAATAGTTTGTAGCGTCACAATACACCTAAAACCAAATTTCATTAAATTAAGACCATGTTTAAAATTTGACCAACCATAGCCCAGGATTTTTTTTAAGTGATAGTAAACCAGGAAGAAAGACAGAGCAAAAAGCCCAGAGAATTTAATGGTATTGTCGGTAATTTTGAGTAACATTTTATTGTTGAGGTATAGATGCATAATTTTGGGGTTTGATTATGGGTTTGCAATGAAATTTTTTTTTTAGCCGAAAACTTTATTGGAATTAGGATTAGGGTATGTTTCCTGATTGATATGGCGACAGTTTATGAATGTTGTGGGATGATTATTTTAAAATGTGGGAAAAAAAAGTTTTTAACGAAATGACTTTTTGACGATTTTTAACATCACTTCAGGTATTACGATGATTTATGGGCTGACATAAAATTGGTATTAGATAAGGGCGTTATATTGGGGTTGAAATGTGACAAAAACTACATTTGTATGATGTTTATTTTTAGAGATATGATAGCCCAAAAAAGTGGTATTGACTCAACATTTTGGGGTTGATTTTGGGTTTGCCATGGGTTTGCCATGAAAATGGTTTTTTTGACGAAAACTAAATTGGGGTTAGGGTTAGGGTATGCTTCCTGATTGATATGGCACCAGTTTTAATGTTGTGTGATGATTATTTTTATATTTGGGGAAAAAAAAGTTTTTCACGAAATGACTTTTTGACGATTTTTAACAGGATTTCAGGTATTACGATGATTTATGGGCTGACATAAAAAATGGTTTTAGATAAGGGCGTTATATTGTGGTTGAAATGTGACAAAAACTATATTTATATGATGCTTATTTTTGAGATATGATAGCCCTTAGTTTACTCCCAACCGTCTTCCTTTTTCTGGGTGGCATGGTTTTGGGATTGCTTTATGTGGGGTTTCTTTTATATGGATTAGGGTTGGGAAATATCAACTGCACTGTTCTAGAGAAGAGTAGAGAAAGAGTGAAATGGAAGCACCATGTGACGATGTCAAGTAAATAAATCTGCATGTCAGGGTTGTTCGCTGGTCTAAAGCCAGCTACGGGAATCTAAAGCGTTTTGTCCAAATTATTTCTTGTTTGA